CGATGAGCATGAAGAACAGTCTGCTCGCGGTGCTCTCGCTTCGCTGGCTCTCGCGGAAGATGAAGGTGAACAGGATGTCCATCAGCGCGTCGAGCTTGGTGCCCATGTCCGCCGCGTCGGTTATCTCCATGTCGAACTGAATCTCGTCTTCGTCCTCCTCGTCAAGCGACTCAATCTTGATCTCCACCTGTTGTAGACCATAAAGCGTAAGTCTTCACGTGAGACACACGTGGCAACACGAAAAGAAAAGAGAGGGAGAAAGAGAGCCGTACATCGATTTGGAGGATGTTTTTGATGGCGAGGGCGAGAATGGAGGACTTGAGCGCCTCGCAGTAGGAGGCCACCTGGAGGATGTTGGAGAGGTAGCACCGGTGGGTCTCGACGTCGAGACGCTTGTGCGGGAAGTTGTGCTCCAGGATGTCCAGCAACACCGACGTGCTGCTCGGCACCAGGTCCTGTCACCGTTGTAAAAGAAGAAGAAGAAGAAGACATGAAGGTGAGCGCAGGCCTTCTTCGGGAAAGAGGAAACAGTGTGGAAAGAGAGCAGAATGGAAGAGACACGATCACGAGCTGATCAGACGTTCATCTGAGAAATCTTTCACAACACCAACATGTTGTTTGGTGTTCGATATAAAGTGCATAATGCTGTCATCACTGGCGGTGATCGCGTGTGGATAGAAGAGAGAGAGAGAGGTGGGAGGTGAAGAAAGCGTACCAGGATGAGGGCGATGGTCTGGTGGAGGTGCTTAGCGATTTGCTCGGTGGCGAGTAGGTCGTACTTCTCGCCTTCTGTAAAAGCGAGAACAAAAGAAGGTGGAAGTGAAGAGGTGGTTAGTCACTCGAGGTGAGGAGAGGTCGGTGAAGGGGGAAAGAAGGGAGGTAAAGATGATGATCGCGGTGTTCGAACTCGCCGACCTCAACGCGCCCTACCCAGCTGCCGATGTTTGTTTCTATCTTTCTGAGAGGAGGTCCTCCACTCCAACAAATGAAGAGACCAACACACCAAAAACTCGACCAGCGAGCGGTGATGATTCTGCGTGAACGCTCACGAGTGGTATCTCTTCAAGAGAGAGTGCCGCCTGAACGAACGAACGAACGCTTCGACGCGTTGGTGTTCCCGAGTCGTCGCACATAGACGTGGATGGGGGAGCGCGCAAAGTGGTGGGTGGTGGTGGTTCGAAGGTTGGGCTGCCATCGCTGCGGGCGAGCGGACGACGTCGCCGTCTTCTTCTCCCTCCGCTCCTCAACTCCCCCGACAGTTGCAGCCGCTGGTGGCTGACCGAAGGAGGAGGCCAAGAACGGAGAGTCGAAGGGACGTCGGCGTCGTGCAGCGCCCCGAGCCGATCGAGTGTTTATTCCGCGCGCAAAGCTGAACGTATCACCGTTCAAGGCTTTTGGCTGCGGCGAGAAATGCACCCATCCAAGGGTCGGGACGCCGCGTCATCGCGCACCGCACCACTGGTCAAGGTGGTGCATAGCGCTCAGACTCGACGTCACCGGCCGATGGCGGTGATATGTATACAGGCCATGCAGATATGAATTCAGCGGGGAGGTTTCGCTTCGCGCTACTAACTCACGGCCGCCTTTCGCGCAGATCGGAGGTGGTGTCCTCGAGTGAGACCTTCACCCCACTTGTATGATGTGGTTGTGTCCATCCAGCCATCCAGTCATTGTCTCTCACACGTTGCGCAGGAGGACCCTTGCGACAAGTGCGGTGCGACTAAGTGTGTAGTAGTCGTAGAGCAGTGTAACGAGATAATCCCCCAGGGAGAGAGCTAACTGTTCATGCACGCGCGTACGGGGGAGGAAGAAAACGATATAAAATGGGAACGCCCACCCAATCCCCCGCTACTCGTAACAGTCCACACATCCCTCTCACCCTGTTCGCCTTGCGACGACCAGACGGCCGAGAGAGCTGTGCAAAGAGCTACTTCACCGCAGCAAGATCACTTTGGACAGACTTGAAATACTATGACAAGTTCGAGCGAGAAGAGCGGAGGAGGTAGAAGGAAGATGAAAAGAAATAAAATGATAATAAATAAATAATAAAAAGAGAAGTAGTGCGTACCGAGGGAGTTGTGGCTCCTGCGCGGTAGGAAGTTGCGCGCGATGGATTGGAACGTAGGGGCGAGATGGCACACATCCGATGAAATCAAGTTGAGTAGAAGATTGGCATAGGCCGATACGATTTCCTGTACAGAAGAGTAGGCGCTTAGTGCTCGGCGCAAACGCTCGGGAAGAGCTCAAGTGGTGGTGATGGTGCCATACCTTGTCAGCAGCCCAATCGAATGCATGCAAGACATTGAGTAGTGCCTCGCAGTTTGGTGTCTTTATGAGGGAT